TCCTGAATTTTTTTATATTCTTCATATTCTGTGTGGTCAGTTCACAGCAGTGATAGAAATTAATAATTTCCAACAAGTTTTATGTGCATTTTTATCTTTAAGCCTTTTTTTTTGTAAAAGTGTGCACCATCTTTTGAGTCAAATTCTTGCATTTAGGCTGTTACCAAGCAAATGAAATCAGTATCAACAAAATTGATCTTTCCAGTGCAGAGGAAACACAGAAGCGGCATTAGAAGTGACATTTAGATGTATTTACACACTGTTTAATGCAGCTCTGAGGGACATTTAAGTCTCTTAATATTAACTTCTTGTTTATTGAACTGTTGTAAGAAATCAATATCACATTTGTAATCATGCTGACTTTTGGAGAAAAAACGACACTCTTCATGTGATCTTAATTATATGAAATGATATAAATATATACACTTTCTGCCCCATATCTTGAATTATGTGATCATTATAAATGCATTTTAATAGACTGATTAATGCAGTGAAATAACGCACTACAAATGTGCACGCGCACTCACTAGTCTAACCTGCTAGACTTCAGGTAATGTATGCGAGCATTCTGTAGGTGTTTTGTAAGGCCTTAAATTTGATACAACTAAATTTAAGACTTTTAAGACCCGCGGAAACCCTGTACAATCATCCGGGTTTAAATCGCGCTCAAATTGATTTGATTTTGATGCAATATTTACACTGAAGCTCGCATATCTATGGTAAGATATGGTAATCACAACACACACTGGCCCAGCTAACCAATCATAGCACATTTCGTATTTCAGAAGGTGGGCCTTCATTTGATACAGGAACTATTCGAGCCGTTCATGCCAGACTGGGGAGAGAGGTGTTGTAATAATGTAAAATATGTGAAAAATAATGTGTTTTTCTAGTATGAGAGCCTGTTCTAGTACACCCCCAAAACAAAATCAAGACTTTGTAAAAGAGCATAATAGGACCCCTTTAAAAGGACAGTTGAGACAGAATTATCTATTGTTGTGATTGTCTAATATTTATGGTAATTTTCTTCTTCTTAAACTTCTCGTCAATGTCACTGCAGACTCTCCTAAAGAATTTCACTGCTCCCCAAGTATCTTATTGATTGATTTCCCTCCCATTCCGATATTCCAGAGAGCAAGGTGTTTTTTAAAGGCAAAATAATTAGTAGTCTGTGTGTGTGGGAGCAATGACCTGGAAAAGAGTCAAGACGCTGTGCCGCTCGACTGCTACAGTTTGATTCACGCTGTCACGGTGATCATGTCAGAGTGCGTTTTATTCTGAGATAAGAAGGCAGAGTCGGTCTCTGAGTGCAGTCTGCTAACCTTACGATCTCTCTTTACCTTCTGTGTCATTTATTTTCCTCACATCAGTGGCCATGCTGGGCTTTAAGAACGATGTCTGGAGTCTAGAGAATTACAGGTTACTGAGGTTTGTGATAGCATAGAAAATGACAGCGTCTGGTAACTGTCTAAGGGATTAAATGTTGATGCTTTCTAGGTTCATGGAAAATAAAAATGTGTCTCAGTCGTAATTGTGAAGCGTCACAGCGTGGAAATGCGTGGAACTTTGTCTTGCGTAAAAGCTAACTCTGAACAAGTTCAGGATGTAGTATGTAGTAAGGTGCAGTACTGTCTGTCATTTCTGCTCCTCCCAAGTCACAGATCGAGAAGAAAACCGGAATATTTATAAAAAAAAAAAAACATCACCTCTTGGGCTCATTAGTGTGGCTTCCATTGCCTTGCCGCCATCACCGCAGCGAGCCTCATCGAACGGGACGCACTGCTCTCCCGTCCCCGCCACCACCTGAGCGTTATCCAGCAGCGGTCGTGCCCCATTCAGAGAGCGAATGCGGTAGATCTGCCGGGAGTTGGTGTCTGACAGAAACAAAGAACCCGACACCGGATCCACAGCCAAGTAGTACCTATGGCTTGGACTGTTGCTATGGAAATAGGGCAAATGGGAGAATATCTCTTAATAAAATCCTCTGACAAACAGCATGGTTACCTTGGTGAACATGTTGAAATGTGAATAGTTCATTGCTGGTAAAGTAATTGGAGCTCAAAAAAAAAGAAAGAAAACACTTTGATAGAAAGGGAAAAAAGGGTAAAATTCTGCTACATGCAATGAACTGTATAAAAGAATAGGACACAAGCACAGCAAATCTAAGTTTTCAGACACATTAGCATGCTATTTAGACATGCACACATGATGAATATTTTTAGATTATGCATTTATTTTAATTACCTGTGTCTCAAATCTTTATTTCTTCATGAAGCAGGTGAAGAGAAAATAAAAAATAATGCATCAGTTAGAATAAATCATCAAAACATCTTATTGTAAAAGCTATTCCAGTTGTTAAAAACAACATTAAATCAATAAACGCCATTGGTGTAGTAGTGCATGATTTATCAATGCATGTCAAGTGTTTATTATCATATTTCATCAAACTGCAATAACTGTTAATTTTGTGGTCAGTGCCACTGCTCTGACATATTGAGCTGTGGTGCTCATGGGAAACCCTTGATTTGACAAAACAATATCAAATGACAAGTTTGAATTATTATTTATCTTCTTCTGACAGCTTTTCCTGTCAGTGGATCTTGGAATTTAAGCCTCATGCATTTTTTATTTAAATGTGATTTGATTTAGAACCAACTCCAGACAATGATTATTTTAGCAGAATACTCAGTTCTACTCTATAATGTCTTATATTACAGAGGTGAAATGAATTGCAAATGCTGTTTTAATGTTGTCAGCTGTGCATCCTATCAGCTTTACCTGAGCTCCAGTACAGCTGTGGTATTGAGGGACGGATAGACCCTCCGCACAAAGTTAAGGTCACCCACATACAGGTTACCCTCTCCGTCACAGGCTACGGCCATCGGCGCCAGCAGCTTGTTGCCCTCAGCCATCCCACTGCAGCTTGGGCACGAGATGCTGCGTCTTCGGCCGTTACCCATAATACTGTTAATGATGGGCGGCTGCTGCTGGGAGAGGAAGATATTCTCACCGCTGCCCTTATGAAGGATGCCTGTGTGAAATAAATCAAACACTGTCACTAAGCGCAACTGAGTGAGATTTCAAACATGACATATTTCTAATGGTCTGTACACGCACAAATGTGATGCTTAAATGAAAGCATCAATTTCTACAGTGTGACATATTTATTGCATTTCATGATCAATAGTGTGAAACCAGCAGTCATTAAAGACCTCATAATCATCAATAACGAACAAATAAATTTGCTGGTCCTGTAAACGCACAGAATTTTACCCTAATACAGTGATGAAATTATGAGCAATGGAAAATGTGCATAAAAAGAGCAATATTACGCAGAAAGTGGGAATTATTTTATAGTGCACTGGCATCACTGTGTCCTTATTTGACTTTCCACTAGCCAAGCTATAATCACAATAAATAGTTTTTCTTTTTAACACGAACCTCCCTATCTCCTATAGCAAGGGAATAAGTCTTCGGGAAGGAGAAATTTAGTTGCTGCAAAAGCCTGAAGATAAACAGGTGTGAAAAAGCACGCAGTAACTATAATGGTGCTTAATACCAACACATTTCACACAGTGCGAGTCAGTAATGGACATTTTTTCTTGGAGAAGCTTGTTAAACCATCAGCTGCAGGGATGACCTGTCCCTTTTGCATTGTCAAGTGTATTTCACAAAACAAGTGCCTCTTAGGAAAAACATCCTGGCTCATTGTAATTAGCCTGATCATTCAGGGATTGACAATTCTGGTCCTTGAAGGCCACTGCACTGCAGAATTTTGCTGCATCTATAATCAAACACACCTGTAAAATATGTCTTCAGGATTACTTGAAACTTACAGAAAGGTGTGTCTGAGCAGAGATGGAGCTAAAGTCTGAAGAATAGAAACGTCCAGTCCAATAGTGCATGCATTTTCCATTGCTGATCACTGATGTCACTTCCAAGCTCTTCTGACCTTCACTAATGAATGTATTAACTTCTACATGAATAGGTGTTTCCATATCATACCGCTGCGGACGTTCAGCATGTGGTGTTTGTCTAGAGACCAGCCGCCCAAGTTTGAGGGGTTGAGCTCGTATCCCTGTAGCACAGCTGTCCTCTTCTCCCACAGGATCTGACTGGGACAAGTCTCATACTCGTACCCCACAGACACTATAGAGAAAGATTGACAGATGGAAAGAGGGATAGGAAAGAAACGTGAAGAATGAAGGCGAAAATGACAGAGAGGGAAGACACTTAGAGGAAGAGCAAAGCTGTGCTATCTTAATTAAACACTCCATCACCGAGCGGGGACATAACAATTCATTAGCTCACAGGAGGAACTTGCCGCTGGCACACACCATAATGGATGAGAGACAGACAGTCTCATTAAACTACAAACTATCTGTGTTTTGGAGCTTAAATTAAGAGAAGACACTGGGGAACAGACAATAGCATAGACAAGAAACAAGATAACAGTTAAAATACACCTGTTTCCTGACATGACTCCATACCCCACTTACCCAAAGCCTCGGTCAGGCCTTGGACCCTCTGCCTGTAGGCGTCAGTCTTGTCCCAGATATAAGTGTAAGCCAGGTTAGGAGATGCATGGAACCATTTCTGAAGGAGATGACCCTCCACGGCCACCATCAGGTGCACTTTGGCCAGGCTAAGAGGCACTAGAGCTGGGGTCATGATCACCTTGAGCAGTGAGAGGTAGCCTGAGGTCCTGGAGCTCAAATAGCAAAGTTTAAGACTGGTGCCGGGAATCTCCACCTGCTCGTGAAGTACCTGGACAGTGAGAGGAAGCGAAAAGTGGGTTAATGGCTTCTCAAAGTGCTAAAAATCTAAAATTCTTGCAGCTGCTGTCAGTCTTTAAAAAGAGATGAATTGTAAGCAGCAGAGAGAAACCATGATTGCGAGAAGGTATGAGGAAGTGAATGAGTCAAAAGGAGTTCAAGAGCGAAAACGAAGATTAACAACAAAAGACCAGCAGAGAGCAAAGAAGGAGAGTAATAGAGAATATAAAACGCAAATAAAAGGCCAACGGAATAGTGGAATGACCTACGTGAACATGAAAGAAATGAGAAGTGATGGAAGTGGTGTTGAATGTGGCACCTGGCTCTCAGGGAGGATGTGTCTCTCTGAAGGGTTGGAGCTGAAGAAGGAGGACAGTGGGGAGGGAAGAACCACAGGATCAGGCCTGACAAAACCGCTCAGGTCACATCTGGCTGTGGTTTTCTCCTCCGTTTGTAGCACCACAGTGTCCATGGCATAGAAGCGATTCCAGGGTAGCCACACTGTTCGTTCCTGACTCAGAAATGGAGCCCGTTCTAACCGCAGAGTCAGAGAGCCTCCGCCGTTGGCCACTAGATCAAAACTAGGGAGAACCGGGACAGTAAATATACTTCAGTGCATATTCAACTGAATGTGGTAGTACTGAAAGGGGTTTAAATAATGTTACATGTTAAATAAAGTTACTCACGTGCCATCCTGGCGGGTCATGGTGTGACCATAGTGAGGGTACTTCACAAAGGTCACGTTGACACCCACCAAAGGAGTGCCATCTGAGGTCAAAACCTGACCTCGAATCAGAGATGCCAGGCTGCACGCACACAAAATACAATATTAGAGCATGATAAATTTAGTAATTTAGTCCATCACAGTACATGGCAGATGAGGTACCTGGCATTAAATGGGTTGGCTCCTGGGATGATGTGAGTGCTGTCTTTACCCACAAGCATCTTGATTCTGTCATAAAAGGAAGGGACTTTTTGGACCTCTGATTGGCTCTGTTGAATAACCTGAAGTGGGTCACGTGATCCACGGCACAGAGGATTGGTCACACAAGGGCTCTGTGTGCAGCAGTCTGGATCCATGCAGTCAACCAGACCATCTGAGTGGAAAAGATGTCACCACATCTCATAAGCTTTAGGTCTGTAACATGCATTAGCAATGTGACACATGAATTTTGTATGAAAATAAACCCACACTGGGGTTGTCACGATACCAAAAATTCAGTACTTGATAGAAATGCCAGTTCATTATCTAATATATGCCACTGAACATACTAATTTATTTTACATAAGATATATAAAGATTCATATAAACATTTAAAATAAAATATTAGCAATGGAATAAAGCCTCCATATATTTCTCAGTCAATTTTAGCAGCAATTTTGATGTAAAGGTTTCTAACATACACTACAGTTTAAGTAAATTGGTTTTGTTTTTAATAAATTAATATTTTTATTCAGCAAATATGCATTGAATTAATCACAGGAGACAGTAAAGACATTTATAATATTAAAAATGATATGTAGCCTATTCCAAATAAATGGTGTTCTTTTTAACTTCTATTCATTAAAGAATTCTTGAAAAAAGCAACAACTGTTTTCAACATTGATAAGAAATATTTCTTGAGCAGCAAATCAGCATAATTGAATGATTTATGAAGGATCATGTGACACTGAAGATGGAAGTAATGATGCTGAAAATTCAGCTTTGCCATCACAGTGATACATAACATTTTAAATAAATTAAATTTTAAAATATATTCAAATATAAGTTATTTTAAATTGACACACACACACACACACAAATTACAAACCCCAAATCTTTGAAAAGCAGTGTCTAATTTACAGATAGGATATTTTGACACATATCTGATTTGTATTAATTAACCTTAATTAGCCTTGCATGTTCATGTCTTCATGAAAATAATTTTACATTTCATGTGTTCAGCTTTATTTTACCAAAGTATTGAATTGAGTTTGTACTCAATGTTATCGATACTATAGAAAGCGCACACAGCACACACAGTTTCATGGCTTCAGAATGGCATATGGTTTAAAGGACTTCTGAAGTCTCTCTGTTCATCTGCCATCTTATTCTCAGAATGTGTACTTTTGTTGAACCCTTCTCAGTTCAAACCCCTGCGCTGCTTTGATGTCAAGAGAGAGAGAGACAAATAATATGATTAAAATAACCATAATAAGCTCAAATGTAGAACTTCTCATCATTATGGAAATGAAAATGAACAAATCTATTTATTTATCCCCATTGGGGTAATCAGCTCAACTGATAGAAGTGATCACTGAATTGAATGATGCTCTAGTTTCTCTTTCTTTCTCTCTCTCTCTCTCTCTCTCTCTCTCTCCTGATTTCACTTTTAGAGAACTTACATCAAAGTCACAGAGGGCATCGCTCACACCCCTGAGAGCTTCCCTTCCCGTTTCATCTTCCTCTCTCTTCCTGTTTCTTATTTGCTGCATATTGCAGTTCACTGTACATACACACCCTTTCAACCCTTCTCCCTAAATGGGTCTTTCTTGATCCGGAACAAACTCACAACAAGCGCCTGTTGCCAAAGACTTTTGCTCCATGTTGTTTTCCCTGGTGCTCTCTGATCTCTGAGGTTTCTGTGAAGTAACCCCCAAACGAAGAGTATAAACAAAAGAGAGAGAAGAAAGAAGCAGGAAGCTGTGAACGTCTGGAGAACGCTTGTTTGTGTCTGGGTCAGATTGAGCAGTAAGTTCAAATGCCTGATTTAACAAGTCTTTTGTGATCATACCGTGTCAATTACGCGAGTCTCACGCTCAGAGTTGGCAGCCCTGCATCTAAACATCACAGATTGACTTCACTGCTAAATTCAAACGACACAAAATTAAAATGACTATGGTTTGCATGGTTTTGTATTATGGGATCCAAAGTAGTTTCACAATGCTTTATGAAAAGCCTGGCTGTTTATATAAGAGAGTGAGAACACACAAAAGAGAAGATGCAGTGGGGAAAATGAAAACACTTTAAAACGAGAAACAACAAATAGTTCTTTCTAAAAGCCTCTCTGTGCTCTTAACTGGTCTAGGGGAGACGCTCAGTGCTTAGGGCTGACTCTGAACATCCACCTGTTTTATAATCATTCTGCCTTGGGGTAGTTTCAAATCCCTCACTTTGCCAGCCAACAGACACATCACCTTTTCATACGGATGACTGGAGCTGCTCTATTCATCCGTTCAGAGCATCTTCATATCGCACATATCTCCTAATAAATTGCCACAAAGCAGCAGTATAGACAAATCTCAATCTACTTTATGAAAGGGGTCATGAACTGAGAAACCAAAATTCCCTTGATCTTTACACATTTCATTGTACTATAAAAACATCCTGTAAGTTTCAGGACTCTAATGTTTCTCATTAGTCTACACAGAAACCAAACAATAAAGATCGCTCCGAAGACAACAAGACGCTGTGCAGTCTTTGCATTGCCTTCCTTCTAATCCCAAACGTTAGGAAAGAGTGGATGCACTTTATTTTCAATGAAGTTCCAGACCGCATCAGTAAGAACTTGGTCCTTTGTTCACTTCATTTTACCGTGGATTCGTTTTCAAACAAGGAACAATTCGACGCAGAATTTTCAGAAAGATTGAAACTAAAAGACGATGCTGTGCCGACTATATTGGATCCGACAGTAATGATGCAACACACAAGTGTAACTGTTTTTATTATGTGGTTACTATTGCTTTGTCTGTTACACAGATCATTTGATATGAGTATTTATGCGTTTTTAACCTAAATCACTAGGCTGTCAAACGTACACAACTGTTAGCCAATCATAGCAGTGGGTGCCTATTCAAACGGAGCGTTCTGATAAAGGGGGTCAAAAACAGGACAGAAAATAGCATATTACTTAAATTGTTTTTTAATGTAAAAAGGCAGTTCATGACCCATTTAAAATGCTTTAAAACTTATATATAGTTTTTACTGAAGAACATATAGGTTCTTTAACTTCTGGAACTGCAAAAGTAATTGTGGTTAATTTGGTGTACCAATAGTCAGTTTTTCTGCAAAAAAGAAAAAGAAAGAAAGAAAGAAATTAGACGGTTAGGTTTTTGCATTCGAATGACTGTTCAGACCAATGCACAAAACAAAACGGTAGATGGGCTGAATCAACATGTGATGGCAAAGAGATTAGAACATCCCTCTATAAAAAAACTGGTCACCTTAATGCCATATGAAAGTTTGTCTCAGTCTGAAGTAACACATTACCGGCCGTTTATCGCACCAAATATTCGTTTTTGTGTGTGAACAGGCCTTTACAATGGTGAGATAACAATTGCCCTAACCAAAATTTCTGCATCTCATCAGTGTAGCTTTTTTTTCAAGTCTTGACAGATGTGATGCATATGAGGCCAAAGGGGATAGAAAAATTTCTGCATTCAACATGCATTTCTAACCTCCTTCATTGTCCTTGTTGTCATTGCAGGAGGTCTCCATGGCAACACTGCAGCCTGGCCCTCTCCAGCCATTGTGGCACTCACAGTGCCAGCTGTTCTGACCCATGATGCATTGCCCATTCCCATTGCACAGCCCCGGACAGCCATCTGCAAGAGAGGAGGGAGAGACTGATCGACTGTGTGATTATTTTGGATTTGGGCTGATTTAGTTTGGTGCCCATAGGAAATGTTACTCGCCACATAAAACTCATTACCATAACGACAGCATGCATGCCACAGACCACTAAGAAAACCTGTCAGACGAACTCTTTTGTTGGACATCAATTATCAATCAACCCAAGCAAAACCATTATGGATGACTTTTGGTTGACTGCTACATTTTGGCTTGTGAATTCAGCGTTAAGAAGTGTTGTGTGCATGGAATCCATCAACTATAATTGTCTGAAAACAATGATGTGAAAACAGTGGTGGAGAGGGAGAGCTGGACTCATTAGCATTAAAACAAGCATCCTAACACATGCAACCAAAGCGGCATCCATTAGTATTCCTCTTCCAGCTGGACTCCAGAGCTCAAAAAGTCATTTAATATTCTTATAGATGCGGATCACACAGTGAAGACCGTGTACTTTTGCTCTGAATGTGATTATAAAATAATGGCAACACACACAAACATACACACCCGCGCAAATATGTTTTTGTACTCTGTGTGCTGATGCAAACATGAGCAAATCAATCTAGACCAAACAGCAAAACAGCAGCCGAAAAGTCTTTGAAAGACACTGGTGTAAAAGAAGTCACAGAACCGAGGGAAATGCCTTTGACTAGCTCAAAGCTTCAAAGCAGGATAAGACCATGTGTGTTTGTGTGTGTGTGTGTGTTTACCGATGGTGCAGTGTTCTCCGTTCCAGCCCTGTTCACATTGGCACTTGCCATCCCTGCAGGTCCCATGTTTCACACACTGTGGGTTACACAGTCTCTGGTCACAGCTTGTGCCTGTCCAGCCCTCCTCACAGTGGCAAACGCCCCCGACACACACGCCATGGCTCCCACAATCTGCTGAACACACCTCTGGAGAGAAAGAGAGAGATTTGTTTTTACTCTTATTTTTCCATCTCTTATATACATCTTTATTTTATTCTTCTTAATTATTCAATTATTATGTTTCTTTTTATTCTGTTATTATTGCTTCTTTTTATTCTGTTATTTACTTAATTGCTATTTGCTTTTGCACTGTTTTAATGATCTGCAGCAAAGTTGCAAATGCTTTGGCAATGTAAATAATTACATAGCTAAAAACAGCACTGTTATGCCATTGTCAATAGCACACTAAAATATCTGTATTATCTACATGGTTGGGGTCAGTCAGATCTTTTTTGAAAGAAATTAAAACTTTAATTTAGCAAGGATGCATTAAATTAATCAAAAGTGACATTAAAGACTTTTACATTCTTAAAAAAATAATGCAGTTCTTTTGAATGATGCATTCATCAAAGAATCCTGAAAAAAAGTAATTATAATAAAAAATGCTTCAAATGTTCCAAATCAGCATATTAGTATCATTTTTGAAGAATCATGTGACACTAAAATAATGAATAAAATGAAATAATGGCTGCTGAAAATTCAGCGTTGCCATCACTGGAATATATATTAGGCCTATATTAAAAATATATATTAAAATAGAAATTTCACAATATTTCTATATCAAATCTCATTCACCAATTACCCACAATCCATTATAAGAAATCACTATCTGTGTTGGTTGCGCCATGTATATTTTAATCAAGTCACTGTCATTATTTTCAGTTCAAACAAGTCTCCTTTATATAAATTATACATTTTATTTTCAATATATATTTTAAGATTATTATTATAATATTTTATTTATGAAGATTATTTTGGATTGCACCTTATCCACCGAAGTTGGAACTGCGTCCACTAATTTTTTTGGGGTGTGTTTGTGCCGTTACCTGATTTGCATATGAATCGGGTGCTAAAACAGCACACGCAGCGAGTGCAAATAAACAACGCTATCAGCGGGTGCAATTCATGTTTAGTGAATCCCCCCGAGAGTGTAGATGGATGAAAATGAAAGATTACAATATATCGCAGCACAGCTTGAGAAGACAGCAAGTGAGAAGGTGAAAATGGCTGATGGGAACACACCCGTGGAGCAGTCGGGGCCCATCCAGTTAGGGTCACAGCTGCAGAGGCCCGTGTCAGGGCTGTAGGCTCCGTGACCGTTGCACTGATCTGGGCACTGGGCTCTGGATACATCACATAGAGGCCCGGACCAACCTGGCTTACAGTGGCACTGACCAGACACGCAGCTGCCATGTCCCGAACACGTGGGGTCAAGACAATCCACTGGAGAGAGAGAGAAACAGAGAGTTTGAAAATACTTTTTCATTCTACTTGCTTTTTTCTTCTCTTTCCTCCTCATCTTTCACCGCTCTCTTCTAAACTCACCTCTGGGATCTCTCCACTTTCAAAAACCAGCTGCAGCTCATATGAACATGCGCTCAGAGACTCCATTTCTGGCCAATTTCTTAAAAGCTCGATCAATAGACTGAATTTCACCGCTTTAATAAAGTTTATTATGCTTGTACCAGCATGCTTTTATAGCAGACATTTGAAAACCGAGATTCTCAGAGGAAGAGGTTTTTCTGAGTTTTGAAAAGAGTTTTGAAAATGAGATGGTCAGAAAAGCCGCCGATGCGCTCATTACCTTCCTCGCAGGACTCTCCACGGTAACCCGCTTCACAGGTGCAGCTACCCTGGGTGCAGGTCCCGTGACCGCCACAGCTGGGATCGACACACTGGCCCTGCGGCACGTCGCACTCCAGGCCCTTCCAGCCGCTGTAGCACATGCACACACCCTTGCTGTACTCTCCGTTCCCGCTGCACAGCACGGGACACGCCGCTGTAACGAAGACGGAACGAAAGGATGCAGGAGGGAAAACAAATGAGGGAGTGAGGGAAGGACAGAAGACGAGGATGTTTGAAAGGAATTAGTGAAAACCAGCTTCATTAAGAGAAGTTCAGTTATGAAATGTAAGATAAGATAAGAGAAAAATGAAGCATAGAGTTAATCCAAACAAATACACTGAAATGTATGAAATCACCTCAAACTGTGTGTCAAGAAAACGTTCTTTTTAGCTGTTTTCAGACAGTGTAGATACATCGCTGTTATTTTATGTCCTTGTGCACTCACAATAAGCAAATGTGCCCTCCTGAACTGCAGCTACCCTGGGTGCAGGTCCCGTGACCGCCACAGCTGGGATCGACACACTGGCCCTGCGGCACGTCGCACTCCAGGCCCTTCCAGCCGCTGTAGCACATGCACACACCCTTGCTGTACTCTCCGTTCCCGCTGCACAGCACGGGACACGCCGCTGTAACGAAGACGGAACGAAAGGATGCAGGAGGGAAAACAAATGAGGGAGTGAGGGAAGGACAGAAGACGAGGATGTTTGAAAGGAATTAGTGAAAACCAGCTTCATTAAGAGAAGTTCAGTTATGAAATGTAAGATAAGATAAGAGAAAAATGAAGCATAGAGTTAATCCAAACAAATACACTGAAATGTATGAAATCACCTCAAACTGTGTGTCAAGAAAACGTTCTTTTTAGCTGTTTTCAGACAGTGTAGATACATCGCTGTTATTTTATGTCCTTGTGCACTCACAATAAGCAAATGTGCCCTCCTGAACTGTTGTCATATTCAGTACGTAGCTTTGACATGTCTGACATGTTTTAGTAAATTGGTTCATTTGGATGAACCAGATAAAAAGAAATGATTCACCAATTCCAGTCTCTGAGTGTAATCAACTCTCTGGTGGAATGTTACATCTTCTATATCCAAATAGAAATTCATAAACTTTTCTCTTCAGGTTTAACCCTATTGATTAAAAACCCTAATTGTTTTAAATGCTAAATTATATAATCTGATACATACCATACATTACCGTTCAAATGTTTGGGGTCAGTGAACGTTTTTAATGTTTTTAAAAAGTCGCTTATGCTCACCAAGGCTGCATTTATTTACTCAAAAATACAGTAAAAACAGTAATTATAGCAATTTAAAATAACTTTTCTATTTTAATATTTTAAATGTAATTTATTACTATAATGGCAAAGCTGATTTTTCTTTTAGCAGCCATTACTCCAGTCTTCTGTGTCACATGATCCTTCAGAAACAAATATACTGATTTGGTGCTCAAGAAGCATTACTTATTATTATCAAAGCTGAAATAGAAATGTTTTGTAACATTATAAATGTCTTTATTGTCACTATTGATCAATGTAATACATCCTTGCTGAATAAACAAGTCTTTAAAAAAGTCTTACTTACTCCAAAGCTTTGAATGTTAGTGTACACAGATTAGGTCAGATTTTTTTGTAAATCCGTTTATTTGAGTGAACCAGATTAAAGGGGTCATATGATGCGATTTCAATTTTTCCTTTCTCTTTTGAGTGTTACAAGCTCTTGGTGCATAAAGAAGATCTGTAAAGTTGCAAAGACTAAAGTCTCAAATCCAAAGAGATATTCTTTATAAAAGTTAAGAGTCAACCACGCCTACCTAAAACGGCTCGTTCTAACACGCCCCCACATGTCTACGTCACGATGTGGGAAGATTTGCATAACGCCGCCCAAATGTTCACGCAAAGAAAGAAGGCGTAACTTTGATTCTTGCTGTAGTATTGTTGCTGCCTCCACCGCCATGTTGTGGAGACGCTGTGTGTCTCTTTATGAAAGTGAAACTACTTTGTTTGTCCTTCCAAAAGAGGACACAACTAGAAATGAAACTATTCACCAATTCCAGTCTCTGTGTAGAGTCATTTACTTATAAACCCTCATATACTGTACAGTTGTGATTGAATTAGAAATGCTATAATTTGATATCATATATTGCCCTCTAATCGGATGCAAACTGTATCCTGTATTGCCCCTTAAAAAAGCTGCAGTAGTTACATAGCTGACTACTTTTTCAAAAGAGACTCATGATTTTAACTATTTTAAATTGTGAGTAGTTTTTATCTTGACAAGTTAAACTTTGTTCTCCAGCAATAGCCGGCATACAGTTTTCTGTTACAGTTTCTGCTGAAAAATTGCCTGGAATGAATGAATGTAGGAAAGGAAGAAAAGAATCATCCCTCGCATTTTTCCCACAGAGTGTTCGCTATTCAGCCTCAAAGGCAGCATAAACACTGCTGAAGCTCTCTGAATATGGTGATAAAGCAGACTATGCCTTGTGTAATTAAGGTAAGAGATTCAGAGGCAATATCAACGGCACTCTCTGCTACTCAAAGGAGACGCCATTTGACAGTAATAAACTAGCTGTCTATAGTCTCAGGTGAGCTCTCTCTCACACACACACACACACACACACACACATTTCTCTTTACGAAGCCTCCACTGAGAGCATTTCATCACTCAAAAAGATTGGTCTGGCACAGTAAAGCCAACAAACCCATCAGACATTTTGGCATAACTGAGATGGGATTAATCAGTGATGTTGCAATTCATCCGTCTGGATCTCAGAGTGATGTGACAGTGTCATAGAGCCGCTACGACGAATGGCCAGAGTTAATGTACACTGATGATCTGATGACAAATGCTGAGCTCGAGGGAAAATTCTGACATATGCTTCACACATCTATATCTGCATCACAGCTAAACATGCAGCAAGTCAATTTAAAACTTACAGCAAATTTGAAATAAAAACTCGCATATTAAAAACCTCACAAATAAATCCAGTGGCTCACAAAGTTAATTTTGAAGTCACTGTAAATAAAATGTAATATAAAACTAAAGGTTATCTAACAACACAGCATGGAATGACATAATAATGATTAAGTTTGATATTAATTACTGATAATAATTAGTTTACAGATCACATGTAAAATGACAGGGTGACAGGTCATGTTTATTTTTATATTATTATTAATATATATATACATTTATATAATATTATATATTATAAGATATAAAGAAATATTTCACTTTTTTATTGCAACACATTAATTATAAATTATTGTACATTAATTTTACTGGGTGGATGTGCTTACTTGTCTTACAATAATGTCACAATGCAAAAATAAAAAAAATCCTAATGGTCCTAAAATAGGCTAAATATAATTTATTATTTCTATGCTGAATAATGATTTTTTTTGACTTCGTGAGAAGAATCACAAATGGCAGGTAAATCTCTTTGCAATTAGAAATGTGAAAGTAAGGTGTTCTGACTTAGTGAACAAAATGTTATTACACAACACAGCTTTTTTGTATGACTACGAAAATGTTTTGACAAATGCTGCAAAGTGAAGCATAATTTTTTAGCATAAACATTCCGGCAGTGTGACAGTAAACGGTACCTTTGGAACAGTCCGTGCCGTGGAACCCTGGGAAGCAATGACACGCTCCTGACATGCACTCTCCATTGCCATGGCAATTCTGGGGGCACTCTTCCACCGAATCTGAGACGAAACATAAGAGACGCGCACATTTTACAACCCTCAGTTATTAATGGGGGACAGTGGAATGTAACGTTCACAAATTCAGAAGACTTTAAACGCTGCTGCCTGACAAAAAAACAAGTCATAGTGCTATGAACTTTCTTGCATTTTGTGAAATAATCTCATACACAGCATGGCACACTGTGAACTTTCAGCCATCGTTATTGATTCAGTGGCAATGTGTGAATTACTGTGACACATTTCAGCAAAGCCTTATGGGAAATATAACACTATGACTGCGGTAAATGCTAAAATAAACAATGCTTTTCAAATCAACAGTAGCTATCACCTGAACAAGATGCGCAGACATTCATACAGTACGTGATCAGATTTAAGAGGCCTCATGAGCACAGTGTGTGTGTGTGTGTGTGTGTGTGTGTGTATTTCTCCTCAAACTGAATATTTAATCATACATACTGTTATGAATATAGTGGACCAAGAAAATAACTGGCCACTTAAGCCACACTTAAAAATGCATGAATGTCACTGCATTAGATAAATATCAAAATGGCATCTGCAGACAAGTTTTTCTCCAAGCTAATTTCACTTTTCTGAATAATTTTTGCAGTGAATTGTAAACAACTGATCTCAAGGTGATTTTGAGTGGATGTATGAAATTGGTTCTTCTCCAGTTCAAACAGGTGTTCTATGAGAGCAACTGCAGGTGCATTTCTGAAAATGTGTAATGCCTGACAACCAGAAAGTGTGCAGATACTGTACGTTTTAGTCTTTTCTATTTTTAAACCAAACACACTTCTTTTGTGAAATGTGTTGAAAAGTGTGCTTGTGCTGTCTTTCTTTAAGATAAATGCCACTTGGTTTGATACTCTGTTATCTAATGCAATGGCATTCATTCATTTTAAGTGGTTTAAGTGCCCAAACACGTTTAGCACTTGATCTCTATGGATTTATTCAGACAGCAGAGAGGCAGCAAAAGTACTTTTTTTTGTGACATACTCTACTCAAATAGAGAGAGAGAGAGAGAGAAAAAACCATACAGTTCAAAATTTTGTGGTTAAATGTGTTTGAAAGAAGTCTAAGTTTTTTATATTAAGGGTCCTTAAATACTTACATCTAAATTAATAATTTGATACTATGCACTCATTGTATACATAAATGCTATTACATTGCACTTATATTTGATAATACTGTTCTGTAATTACATCCGTAATTAATTTCTGTAGTTACATCTATAATTACACTCCTAACTTTACCCATATCCCACCTCAATAACAGCAAAAGTGTTCTGCAAGTCAACATGAATACAATACGTACATTGTACCTAACAATTCATTCTTTTATTAAGTACATAGTATTTAAAGACACCTAATATAAAGTGGGACACTTTTATTATTTTTACATAATTTCTTATCATCAATGTTAAAATCAATGTTGTTTTTATCAGTGTTGTTCTGCTTTAAAATTTTTTTGAAACTGACAGTTTTTTTCCAGAATTCTTGGATTAACAGAAAGTTTAAAAACATAATTTTAACCTTTATTTAGACATTTATTTTTTAATAATGTAAAAGTCTTTAATAGTGTAAAAGTCATGTTTGATAAATAAAAAAAAAAAGATAAAAAAAGTCTATGAAATATATAAAAATATATTTACAAATCTCATCAAACCACATTTGTATTTCATTTTAAAACAGATTTTTAAAATGTGTTTTATTGTTATTTTATTTGGGAAACAATTTCTTTGTCCATTTATTGAAGCGTACGCCAGTTGCTATGTTCTGAATATTGAATGAGTGAACAAGTGAGCAGTTTATGCATGAATATTTAAACACACAATATATAAAGTACATGAATATGTAAAATACAGCAAGACCTCCTATACGCTTCATGAGTTCTGCATCACTGCCTGATGTCATGACAGACATGAGGCCAGATTTCCGCTTTGCTGTGACAGCTCCTCTCAACTGTTATAGAAGAAAGTCTCGAAGTTGGCATTGTGCTTATGCTAAGTCATCACTATAGCAACCGTTGTAGAGAAACTTCCTTGAAAAAACATATTTTAGTGTTTACTTTTATTTTAGAAATACAGCTATTCCTTCTGTGACCTAAAGAGAAATGTAAGTGAAAGGAATAAAAGCAGCTCTCCCAGTTCAACTGCTCACATTCAAACTGAAATATAAAATGAGGTTAAGGGTAGATCAGGTGAACTGTGCAAGCGGCTTGCAGTGAAACGCATCTTCTAAACAGCAGGTCTCCAAACAACCAAGTTTCTATTTACCATCTTCCTTTTAAATGTTGACTTTAGCGTGTAAATAAAAGCTGGAGGTGTCTACCTAGAGCCACAGTGCTGAATGAGACGGGTTCTTTCTCTTTGCCGTCGTTGTAGAAGGCCAGGTGCCAGGTGCCGGGGTCCAGATACTGCACAAAGATTGCCTCGTTCTGGACAACGGTCTGAATACTGCGCCTCTCGCGAGGAGACTCGATAACGCTCCACTTCTCTTTTCCATCCAGCCTTTCCATGTAGTCATACTGAAGAGAGAGGGAGAGGTGAGGACAGAGGGAGAAAACAATCAGCGAGGCAAGTGGCTGCGGGACATCACCTTCACTAAAAACTGTAATGACAATCAAAATAGTCAAATTAAATCAAAATGTAGAAGAGATAACAACTCTGGAATGTGACAAGACAAGTGTAAGAATTCTGCAGACAAATATGCAGCGATAATTTGGAAATAATTTACAATTCATTAAAAAAAAGTTGCAAACAAAAAAGCCTGTCTGCACAGATGGTCTCTTCATGGTAATTAACGAAAACCTGTCTTTTTAAGGAGGAACATCATAGGGAACCAGATTCCCTTGCTCTATAAATGCTAGCTCACACACTGTCCCAACAAATGGCAACCAACCCCAATTTCCAATATATGTTGACCATGTTGGCATTTGCTGGGTCAGTCTGAACATAACAGTGTCAATCATTAGAGTTACTGTAGATGCATGCTCATGAAAAACAAATTAAGACAACACCATAAGAAAAACATTTTCCGTTAAGTTTATGGACATTTCCTTCAACCCTAAAACATAACACAATGCAATTCCCTAATATTAACATGGAACATTGGGTCGTATTTTCACAGACATTTCTTTGAGCGTATTTAAGCTGCAAACAATAATGACTTTTTTACATTAATAAGAATAGAAATCATCAGGATTTTTATGATTCTGATTTAGATTCTGCTTCTAGTTTCTAAAAAAGTCCATTAAGGACTCAGTACTTAGAAGACAAAAAATGTGCATAATGACAAATAACCAATCATGTTCAACAGCTCTGTCAACATTTTGTCAGCTCTACTAATTGTTAGTAACTAGAAGTCTTACAAACATTAGGTTAAACACAGTAACAATTTTATGAATACAGACCGGATATCAGCTATGTCAAAAATATTGACTTGAAGTTAAGTCAGTGTGTACTAGGGGTTGAATGACTTCTGATTTTTTAAAGTCGACTTTTACATGATGAAAGTCGAGTCGAAATCGACTAGTCGCTGATGATGTCATTAATGAACAAATAAGTCTGGACCTGGTAGTCGACGTCAATCTTAAAGCATCATGGCAGAGCATTGAAGTTGACTAGTCGATTAGTCGGTACAACCCCTAGTGTGTACTGAGGTATCAATTCAGTAACCAGATGACTCTTTCAGTGAGTAAGCTGTTTCAGACCAGTGAGGTCATCTGTGACAAATGAGCTGGCTCATAAGAGTCATTCAATTCAGATGTAAAGCTCTTGAGCACTGAAAGGATAGTTCACCCCAAAATGAAAATTCTGTCATCATTTACTCACTCTCATGTTGTTGCAAACCCATAAGGCTTTTGTTTACCTTTCAAACACAAATGAAGACATTTTTAATGAAACCTGAGAAATTTCTGTTCCTCCACTGAAAGTCCAGTCCACCACAACTTTCACGAGTCAAATGTCTATTAAGAGACGCTCTAATTAAAAGTAATCAATTTGAATTGAACAGCTTAATCTAAATCTTCTAAAGAGACATCATTGCTTTATATAATGAACAGATTTAGTTTAGACTTTTATTATCATATAAATATCTATACACATACTGTACATACAGCACATCAAATGTGGTAAATAGAAGCTCAAATGTGCTCGATGCGCAAGATCTATTAAAGTTTGTTCTTACACGCAAATATGTTTGAGCTACTGTGTTGACCATATTTGATGAGCTCTATGTATGTGCGTTAACTGATGTTTATAAGTGAATAAAAGCCTAACTTAAATCATCATAATAAGTGATTGCATCTCTTCAGGAAACCTGGATTAAACTGCTCAATTCTTAAAGATTGCATTTATATGTCTTAAAGGGGTCATATGATGCGATTTCAAGTTTTCCTTTCTCTTTGGAGTGTTACAAGCTGATTGTGCATAGATAAGATCCCTGAAGTTGCAAAGACTAAAGTCTCAAAACCAAAGAGATATTCTTTATCAAAGTTAAGACTCTGCCACGCCCCCCTAAAACGGCTCATTCTAACACGCCCCCACATATCTACCCCACTATGTGGAAATATTTGCATAATCCCGCCGCAAATGTGCACGCAAAGAAAGAAGGCATGGTGTCAGTAACCGCAGTTAGTGTTGAAGCAGCATGTCAGGGAGACGCTGTGAGTTTCTAGGCGAAAGCAAAAGCACTTCATTTGGCCTTCCGAAAGTAGATGCATTTAGGAATCTTTAAGATTACTTACAACAGAACAGCAATGCATTTTATGGACGACCGTTTCGTGAACCTAGGAGAGGAGGTAATGCGGAACATTAAAGCATGTCAACGTATTCTGTTACACCAAATACACCAAATAATGATCTTTAAAAAAACATCATATGACCCCTTTAATGTACTTTTTGAATTGTGAACGTTTTTGTGGAATGGGCTTTCAAAGGATGGACAGAAAGCTCTCACATCTTTTTAAAATGAACACAAGCCTTATAAGTGTGGAACAACATAACGGTGAGTAAATGATGACAGATTTTTCAGTTTTTTTGTGAACTAACCCAAACAAAACAAAAACTGAAAGTCATTAAAAAACATGTTTTTCAGTATTTAAAAATTGGATTCTCAGTCATAATTGTAAGTGAACCTGGCTCCTTTAAAAGAAGAACCAAGACATGAGGCGATTTGCCCACCTGAGCATGTGAAGGAGGCAGGCCTTTCCGCATGTAAACCCCAAACAGCGCATCCTTGCCCAGGGAGATGTTGAACTTGAGAAAGTGTGGCTGGCGCAGGTGAAGCAGAGACCTCCAGAAGACGCCTGGAGGAACATCCTGACTGACACGCTGACCCAGCTCCAGCTCCCCGCTGTTTATACTGCTGTTCTTCAACACCCACGGCCCTGAGATGGACGCCAAGAGAAGAAACAAGATTTGTTTGAGGGGGGAAAAAACACTAAGAAAGTATTTCAAAGACACGGAGAACAGGGAATATCCTCCGCTCCATGTGAAAATATTTGCAGTGTGTACAAAGAAAAATCAACATATATTATTCCACTGAGACACAGCTCTGTGCTAATGAGTGTGCGGTGTGGGCTGCCAAAGTCATCAACCCTAAATCAAACCCTGTCTTCTCCCTTGAGATCATAATACCTCTGCATGACAGCACTGGCCACACACGCACTCCTCCCTTCCCAATACACCTGCTAAGTCTGTCCTCTAGAGAGAAAACTGTTGTTGTGTTGACAGCGCAGATAGATCGCAGCAACTCCAATCAGAAAATAACCCAGTAAATGGGCCTTGATAGTATCGGAAGCAACACACACACACACACAAACACACTCTTTTGAGTCTGAGGGGCCAGTGCAACACGAGTGGACTTGGTGTTAGCTGTCAGTCTAGTCTACTTTCTCAATGTTTGATGTGCCCTGATAAGCAGAGACAATCTGTTTCCCAGCCTGCTAAAACCTCTGGCTGCATTTAAATGAGTTATGAAGAGAGAGGAATTGAATTGAGCAAGCGCGAGCAAGCTCTTTCCCTAAATGGATCAAGCCTTCTTTTTGCAGGAGAACATGTGCACGCACATGCAGTGTCAGGTCTGAGTGACAGGTCGGTTAAAGCAGCCCAGTCTGGTAACCAGTGGGAGTCTACACCAACCTCCCTCATTAACACGGAGCATGGATGGACGGCTCTGCGCTGAACGAGAGCACCACACCGAGAGAGCAAGAGAGAGAGATGGAAAAAGTGAGATAGATAAAGAGAAATTGAGAAGCAGAAAAAAGGGGAAGAGAAAGTACCCTAGAGAGGGTGCATAAGAAGAGTCTTGTACTCTGGAGCAGAAGTTCACACTCCTCAAGTTCTCAACCAGTCAGAACTACTGACATCAGAGCCACTGAAAAAGGTGCTTTCCTCTCACGAACGAACACTCGCACCTAGGTCTTGATATATGTGGACTTTCTTGTTTAGTGTAGGTATGACAGTCACCTCAGATCCTGCAACCTAAAACCTACAACAAACTTACAATAACTCTTATAATTTTCTAAAATAACATCATAAATTGTTACCTAGCACTACAGAAAATGACTGATTGTATCATCCTTTTTACTTTTTTTTGGAGAATTTCCCCAGAAGGTGGTTTGTCAGATGTAACTCATTTCTGGGCACAAATTTCTCCCCAAAATATGGTTGATTAGGTACATACAAGCACTTTTATCCTTATAGTGTTTCTATACTTTGTTTCTCTACAGCTCCCTATGGTTATATTAAAATATAAGCACTTAAGTAGGTCTACTTGTTCAATTAAAATCTAATTGTAAAATTATAATTAGTACAATATTTCATTTTAAAGAGTCTGAGAAATAGCCACAGTAGAGTTGAATGGAAATCCCTATAGAAATGCCTGAGTAACAAATATTCTGAATAATTCCAGAATAAAAGTGTTCCTTAGATCTTATTCTATTGAAATAAATACATATGTAAATAAACAAATACACTAATAAAGTCTGAATCTTCTGGAATAAAATAAAGAGGGAGATATTCCAGAGAGATGTGGAGTGTACAGTATGTTATTGTATAAAAGCCATATAAAGAGGAATGCCATATAAAATTTTATGGGTAAGGGTCAAATGCAGTCAGTTTGGTTCGCATGTAACATCCCATCCTGAATTACTAAAGTGAAGTTTAGTGGATGGCATCCATCAGAGGGTTAAATGAAGCATAAACATATTTTTTTCACAATTTTTATTATCCATATGAAACTAATTCTGGTATGTAATGCGCACTTTTCTCAATCCAATTGATTCCCAATGGATGAAATTAAGTTTTGCACTATATTTTCCAGCTTAAAGGGGTCATATGATGTTGCTAAAAAGAACATTATTTTGTGTATTTGGTGTAATGAAATGTGTTTATGCAATTTAAGGTTAAAAAAACACATTATTTTCCACATACTGTACATTATTGTTTCTCCTCTATGCCCAGCCTTTCTGAAACGAGTTGATTTTTACAAAGCTCATCGGTCTGAAAAAGCGAGGTGAGCTGTGATTGGCCAGCTATCCAATGCGTTGTGATTGGCCGAATACCTCAAGCGTGAGACAGAAATGTTACGCCCCTTGCCATATTGTGATGATGCCCTGTCAGGCCGGAGCGATGATTCAAAAACATGAAAACCCATTATAAACGAGGCATTCATTGCATCCAGTGGGGACATAATTATGGATTATAATGACTTATACTGTCTTTTTACGCGCTGCGTTGCATATCGCACCGCGTAAACATAAAACCATGTCTGCATTTGTGATCGGAGAAATGACAAACAACAAGCCCTACTCTACACTGCCCAAAAAACTCGCTTTAAATATAAAAAAAATATAAAAACTCTTTAAATATAAAAAAACTTACTTACAGTCTGTGAGTCAGAACAGCCAGCATTGTAGTCTACTCTACCAGGATCAGGAAACAGTCCTCCATAAAATGTATTGCACACATCCGAATATTTGGGTTGAAGTGTTCTGGAACAGTGTTGTAAATACAACTTAACCACTGATTTCTAGTCGTGTCCATTTTTGGAAGGCCAAACAAAGTAATTTCGCTTTCACAACGAAACACACAACGTCACACACGGCGGCCTTGAGTGAGCAGAGGCCGGGGGCTAGAGTGAGGAACGGCCGGAGGGCAAGAGTGAGCGGAGGCCGGTGGGCTTGAGAACAGCGCGGC